AAACACTTGAAACATACGTTTGCAACACGAGCTTTCAGCGTAATATCTCCTTGTTGTTAGGGAATGGGGGCTCGTCGGCACGTGGAGTTCACCGGTGTAGAGCTTGCCGGTGGCGCGGAGCTCGCCGCTCCGGTGGAGAAGGACGCGGCAAGTCTAGTGGAGAAAGCCGTGGCGGGTCCATGCGCTCTAGAAGGCCGTGGCGTGCGAGAGGCCCGGGTAGAGAGGGAGGAAGACCGTCTGCTGTGCTCTGGCGTGGTGGAGATGCCGGCTGGCGAAGCGGAGGGGTGGTGGAGAGGGAGGCGAGGTGGAGAGTGTGGTCGCTGAGGCGGCGTGGGCGCGCGGCGGAGCATGGTCAGCGAGGCGGCACGGGCGCGCGGCGGCGCTTCGTGAGATGAGTTTTTTTTATCGGTTGGGGGCGAGTGCAAGTGGATGAGCAGATAAGAATTGCCATCTGGGTCGGTCTTTGGGCTAGCGCGGGCAAGCGTCCGTCCGCTGGACGCCTACACCCAGGATTACCGTTAATTCTACTTTGCAGTTTGCACTTACTTTACTAGCTGATCTGAATCCTTATCAACACTGAATGTGTGACATCTGACATGCTTAGATTGCCCATATGCAATATGTTTGTTAGGGATCTAAGTTGTGTAGTAGCTTAATAAAAGCCGTCATTGAAAATCTACCTGTTTTTAGAGGATTAGCTTAGGAACCACCCTAGAAATCTACCTTTTATGCCAACTGTCCTTAGAAATATGTAGATTTTCAGTGGCTAGGTACCGTGGACTGATTGGAGAGGTTATCATCCCGATCATGGAGAATTTGCAATAATAACGATAAGGGTTACGTGCACATTTCGTTTCAATTTTCACACACGGCCGGAGAGGTTTTAGGTTCGATCTTTTTCTTTTTGTTTGTTTAAAGAAGCAAAGGGGATGTACATATTCTCTGACACTGAAATAAGTAGAAATGGAATTGATGATGTCGTCATTTGTTGACAGCAAGACTATTCCCTGAAAGAAGAATAACTTTACATGAATGATGGAGAAATAAAATGCTCCCAGTTGGCAAATTATCATCGCATTCCCTTTTCAGAAAGAGAGAAAACAACGCGCATTGGAATCTCGACGCCTTTGCATGCCATCTAGTATCTCGGTGATAAATTTAGCTACACCAAAATTGTTTAGTGACATACATTTTTTTTCTCTTGAAAACACTGTGTGAACATTTTTTTTCTTTGAAAACACTGTGTGAACATGGAAATCTTATGTCATCTCATCTGGATAATATATCTTATGTAACGTTTTATGGGTTTTTTTTATATACCAAACTAAGCTGAATTTCACAATATCATTAGTGCAGGATTTACATTTACGTACGTTTTGTAAATCCTGCTGATCGATGAACTCGCTGTCGTATATAAGGAAAATAAGAGGAGTTTGCTGAAAGCATCAGGTTCTGGCATGCATTATTAATTGTCACAATCTTGCCCAAATATATACCCAAACCGCTTATTAAGGCTTTCTTTCTTTCTTTCTTTCTTTTCCAACAACAGTAAAAGCAATAATTCATTATCATCATCATATATATATTAAAAAGGCTCGGTGGAATGGGATAAGCTAGCCTTCATCTGTCATGAAATAGTTCTTCTTGTCCACCAATCCTGATCCTGACCGTCCATCACCAGCCAGCGCGTCCCTCATCATCGCTCTATAAATAGGTGCGCTCCTACACGCATTTTCTGCAACCAACGAGCAAGGCAAACACCTGCACCAAACACACTTACAGCCAGCAAATTAAATCCGACACTAGCCTACCCGAGACGATGGCCGACTACTACCACGGCGGCAGGGCCATGTACTCCAACACCGACGACGAGTGCTACGACGCCGGCAGGCACGGCGGCAGCATGAGGGCCTACTCGCGCACCGACGAGTACTACGACAACGTGCAGGACGACCGCATCAGGAGGCCCGCCGCGTACGCCAACGACGACTGCGGCTACGGCGGCAGGCAGACCGCCGTGTACAACGACGAGTACTCCCGCGGCGGCTATGGCGGCTACGGCGGCGAGCAGGAGCACTTCAAGAGGGAGGAGAAGGAGCACAAGCACAAGGAGCGCCTCGGCGAGGTGGGCGCCCTCGCCGGCGGCGCCTTTGCCCTGGTAACGTAGCATAAAGGTGACCATGCATTTCGTACAAGTGTACTATAGCTGGAATTCTAGCTGATGGAACGCATGCATGCATGAATATATTGCAGTACGAGGGGCACCGTGCGAAGAAGGACCCGGCGAACGCGCAGAGGCACAAGATCGAGGCCGGCGTGGCGGCGGCGGCGGCGCTGGGCGCCGGCGGCTACGCGTACCACGAGCACCGCGAGCAGAAGGAGGCCCACTACGAGACCAAGCAGCAGGAGCACAGGGTGCCGCACGGCTACTACAGCAACTGAAACTGATCCGATCCGATGCGGTTGCGGTTGCGGATGGACGAGCGAATGCATGAACTCGATCGATCAGCGTGTAGCCTGTAGCGTCCTGCTACCCTATGGACTGCCGTACGTACTACATAAATAAGAGCAGACGTGTCACGTGTGTTGCTCACTACGTACGTACTCTACTTATTTGCAAATAAGTAAGCGCATGCTTCTGCAGCGTGTAACGATCACTATTAAATGTATTGATGCATGCATTAAGCTATGTATTCTGTGTTAATGTCAGCATCTCACCAGCTACTTCATCCCACTATATACTAGTATATCTCTGTCCGCAAAAGAATACGATTCTAGCTTCATCCGCCTATAGTCAAAAAATTTTGTAAAGCCTACCCAGATTTATACAAAATTGTATCAACATCATCTAAACTTTTATATAAATTCACAATGTAAAATTGGTTTATTATGAAAAAAATGCTTCCATAATATATGACAAATTTCATGTATTGCATATTATGAAAACATGCACCTATTTTGGGGAATTTATCGAGCGATTTTTCTAAACTGTTGATTCCTAATCACTACTAAAAAAATGAAATATTCTTAGCGTCCAGAATTTATTGAGCGTGAGGTGTGAATAAATGAAACCACCAAGGAGTTAGGAGTATATTGTTTCCTCGGAGGTGCAACTAAAAAGTTCTCTAAGCTGCCCAAAGATGCAATTTTCTTGACAGTTTTTCTATGCCGCAAAGGAAAATGCCTAATTTCTTGGTGGTTGGCATGTAAGAAAATCTTTGTTATTAAGTACTTATAAATATAAATGTCATGCTAGCTTCTTTTCACTTAAACACATATGACATATAAAATTTTTAAGTTTTTTATGCCCTTCTAAAGTTTCTTTATGGAACAGCTGCACAACCTGAGGGGGTTCACCCGGTGCAGTTTTATTTCTGCATACAAATACAATCAATTGTTTATTATCTTGGTCGTGCTAATGGAAGTCACTTAGCTTAAAAGATAATGCAATGCAAGAAAAAGATAAATCAAGTCGCTGGTCTCTATTCTATACCATACCAATTCAAAATATCGGTATATGTACGAACTGTGTGATGATTATAGCAGGCTCCAGCTAGCTTGTACGAACTGTGATATAAACAACCGGATCATGATCTCGGTCTTCTGAAGATTGGCTGGAGATATCATACGCTTCTACCTCAATCGGATCGGATCTCCGTTCTGCCGTGGAGCATGTTCTCTGGAATTATTTTGCTAAATTTCAGGATATGCTAGTACCTCCTCACCGACGATAGATCAGTATTAGAGTATGCTTTATGTTGCTGCCGTCGATTGTTCTTTGACGGATGCTTTGCCGTCGTTGCTGTTTTGGGGATGCTTTGCCGCCTTGTCGCTTCGGGCGCCCCCCTTGGGGGATGCTTTGCCGTCATGGGGATGCTTTGCCGTCATGGCTGAGGGTGTGATGGCTCCCCTTTTACGGATACTTTGTCGCGTTCTATCTGGCGGATGCTTTGCCGCCGTGCTGCTCTGGCGGACTTGCCGTCGCAACCTTGTCGCTTCTTGGTGGATGCTTTGCCACCGAGGCTTCATCTCTCGTGCTGGCACCCTTGTGTTGATGTATTTTTACCTTGCAGGTATAGTCAATTAGGTGCTAGGTGTGTGGCTCTGCTGTGCCTGTGCTTCAACTCTATCTTCACATTGGTTTGTCCTTCGGTGTTTGTTGTTGCCGCTGTCGTTCGGTTCGTTGGCGGATGCTTTGCCGCTGTTGCTGCTTGGGTGGATGTTTGGCCACCTCGTCGCTTTGGTCTCCACGCTCAGTCAGCTGCAGAGCGTGTAATGGCCCTCATTACGAATGCTTTGCCGTAATGGTCCTTTTTCGGCGGATGCTTGGCCGCCGTGGTCGTTTCTCGTATGGAGCGTGTGATGGCCCTCATTACGAATGCTTTGCCGTAATGGTCCTTTTTCGGCGGATGCTTTGCCGCTGTTGTCGTGCCGGCTCCTTTGGCTTCCTTGGTGGATGCTGGCTATCGCGGCTATACTACAACTTAGTCTACCAATGTGTTTGTCTTCCTGTAATAGGCTCAGTCTGCAAGGGTTTGGTGGTGGAGGCCCACCCCCATGCTTTCTTGCTGTATCGTTTGTGCTTGTGGGATTGCACTGGTAATTCTAGGATTACCGGCCAGTCCTTTTTGTAACAAAAAAAAAATTCTGCTTTGCTTAATGAAATCCGTACATGTGGTACGTTTGGAAAAAAAAGTATTAGAGTATGCATGATGCCACGACATTGCCAATTAATAATGTCCACTGAAGTCTATTGGTGACGCATATAAAACAGTGTCGTCTATAAATACACAATGACGATGCCCATACATAGCTCATTTCAGACATACTAGCTAGAGGTAGCACGTACGTACGCCGCAGTTGGAGAAGACGACGTCCGGTAGAGGGATTGGAGTGACAGTACTGCCAGCTATTGCGTCTCTGCAGGATCGGAGGAGCAATAATGGCGCCGGTGGTAGCAGAGCTGACGACGACGACGGCCAGGGACCTGCAGCTCGCTGATGACACGGCTGCCGCTGCTCACCATTGACGCGTGCCGCAGGCGGGAGACGACGACGAGCGGGACGGTGGGGCCGTGACGGCGCCGCCAGCGGCCGAGGCGTTCGCGGCACGGTGGAGGAGCCACCGACTGACGAGGATGCCTTGGCGGAGCGGCAGGCGGAGGTGGCCCGGCTCCTGGCCGGGTTCCGGCGGCACCTCGAGGACCGGTCGGCGCACCACCTGGGGTACGGGTACCCGTACAACCTGGACTTCGACTTCGCCCCGCTGGCGCCGTTCCTGGAGGGCCTGTGCATCAACAACCTGGGCGACCCCTTCGTGGAGAGCAACTACGGCGTGCACTCGCGGCCGCTGGAGGTGGCGGTGCTGGACTGGTTCACCCGCATCTGGGACCTCGGCCTCGGCGACTACTGGGGCTACGTCACCAGCTGCGGCACCGAGGGCAACCTGCACGGCCTGCTCGTCGGCCGGGAGGTGTTCCCCGACGGGCCGCGGTCTCGCACTACTCCGTCTTCAGGGAGGGCGGCCAGGATGTACAGGGTCAGGTGCGTCAAGGTCGGCACCCTGGTTTCTGGAGAGATGGACTGTGATGATTTTCTGCCTGTTCGCTTGGGCGTAAACGATCGTGGATTATAAGTCAGAATAATATTTTTTTCTCACACTAAACCAGTCAGTAGTAATAATCCATGATCGTTTCAGCCAAAACGAACAGGCTGTTTGAGGCCAAGCTGATGCCCAACACACACAGCCCTGCCATTGTCAACGTCAACACTGGTTAGTCCTGTGTGCACTGTATGTCTGATGCTGATCTCATGCGTCGTGCAGAGCTGTGACAGCACTGCTGTTGCTCTCCTTGAATTGCATGCAGGAACAACTGTGAAGGGAGCAATTGATGATCTTGACAAGAAACCAGGGTGGGTTTCATGACCGATTCTACATCCACTGTGATGGTGCTCTGGCTGGCCTCATCATACCGTTTCTCAAACAAGTATATACACTCTCTTTTTCTTCTTCTTTGTCCGAATATATACCAGTTTTTTACATGAGGGAACAACTTACTAACGAATCAACCAACTGAAGCCATGCATTTTTTTTTATTTCTTTTGGCTTTTCATTCCTTCCACAGGCACCAAGGGTGACGTTCAGAAAGCCTGGCATCGGAAGCGTGAGCGTCTCGGGCCACAAGTTCCTGGGGTGCCCGGTCCCCTGCGGCGTGGTGATCACGAGGCGAGAGCACGCCGTCGTGCTGTCCACCGACGTCGAGTACCTCTCGTCGAGGGACGCCACCATCACCGGCAGCCGCAACGACCACGCGCTGCTGTTCCTGTGGTGCGCGCTCAACGCCAAGGGCCGCAGGGGCATCCGCGACGACGTCCACAGGTGCCTGCGGAACGCGCGATTCCTCGCGCGCTGCCTCAGGGACGCCGGCGTCAGCGCGGCGCGCCTGAACCCGCTAAAGCATCACGGTGGCGCTCGAGCGGCCGCGCGACGAGGCGTTCGTGCGCAAGTGGCAGCTCGCGTGCCAGGGCGACGTAGCGCATGTGGTGGCGATGCCGAATGTTGGCGTCGGTCGACAAGATCGCCAGCTTTGTTGAAGACCTTGCTGCTAAGAGGAGGATCTGGTATCAGCACGGTGAAGGGCTTGTTGGTCTGTGCGTGGCGAAAGATATAGGGCAGGAGAATTGTCTCTGTGGTCTCCATGACGTACAACAAGCCAAGAGCAAAGTAGACGTGTGTCAGTGTGTCTAAAATATGACGGACGCCCATCATATATATGGCTGATTCCATGGATATTGTTGACGACCAAATATGGCCGAGAACGTGAAGAGGAGTTTTAGACGATGTTTCTAGTGATAAAATAGTCCTAAAAATATATTTGGAGCATTGCTTAGAAGTCCAGAAGCAAAAGGAAGAGAAGATGGCGCTCGGTTCTGCCAAAGGGGGCCTAGCCGGTCCTCATAGCCGGCCAGACCGGCCTGCCGCGTGCGCCCTGCTAGGTTTCTCTAGCCAGGCCGGCCTCCCTGCGACGCCCTCTGCCAAACCGGACCCGGCCAGGACGGTTCTCCTGCTCGCTCTGTTGTAGTTGGCCTCCCCGAGCTAGACAAAAACGGCCCGGCCCGTTTGGGACCCCGCCAGGGCGATTTCCCCTATTCGAGTTCGTTACTTACCAAATCGGTTTTTGGACTCGATTGTTTTGGCCTAGGAAACATGGAGATCAAGGTCTGGACTTATTTTCTACCGGGATAAGACTAGCCTCCTCTATATATAAGCCATATAGTTTTTAGCACCAATATTAAGGCACGGCTTGGGGAAGGATGTGAGACCGAGGAAAAAAAGGAAAATCAGGCCATCTTCTCTCTCCCAATCGGATTGCTTCCTAACAAACTATAACAAAATCCACAATCCTCTCTCTCCCCCGATCGGTTTCCCCTCTTCCTCGCTGGACCCACCGCCTACGTTTCCCGCGAGCGACGACACGCGTTATTTTCCTCTCTCTCCCGCGCGGCATGCAGAGGGAAAAGCCTCGGCAAGTTGAAAAGCGATGGAATTTTTTTTGCTCATCCAAAAATTCCAGCAGAGGAGGGAATCACAATGGTGCCAATGATCAGAAATTTTCGTTTTGTAAACAGCGACCCTAGAGCTATAAATTCCCCCCCTCCCCATCACTATCTCACCAGTCTCCCGCTCGAGCTCGACATCTCTAATGGCTGGTCGCCGCTCCGGGTGGATCAACTGGGATGCCCTCGGCGACGAGGCGGAGGAGGATGCTGCCGAGTTGAACTATGACTACGAGTGGCTTGAACCAGGTTTTCCCACTTTGATTCATCGTTTCTGCAATCGATTCTTCATTCGTTTCGCGATCTGTGCATAATTCGGATTTGCTATCTTGACAGAGGTAGAAGTGACAGAGTCGTATGGCAACGGTGGAGAAGAAGGGGACGGCCACGCCGGACTAGGTGGTCACGGCGACGCGGGACAAGCACGTCACGGACACGGCCATGTCCTTGACGTCCGCGAAGGACTCGGTGGCCCGCTGCTCGGTGGTTGCCATGGTCTTGCGCACTAGGTGTGGTCCATCGTCAACAGCGCCATGGTCGGCGCTCATGGCGTGGGCACCAGCAGGGAGGACGCACTACAGTTACGTGGGCGAGCTCGCCTGGGACTAACAGGTCGCATCCGTGGGCGTGCACCTGTGACACGATGGCCTCCTCATCTTCCTATTCAAGGTAATCTGCTACTCGAGTTGATGCATGTTTTGTTCAGATCATGGGTACGATTAGATGTCTGCATGTGCTTGTTTATGGTCCATGTATCCATGTATCCTTTGTAACCTGACCATGTATACGACTAGGAGTAGCAATCTGACCATGTTTACGGTTTACTCATTCGTAATTGAAATTGTTATTTTAGGTGCGAATGGAGGCAGTGGACTTAGCGACACCGACGAGCATGTAGAAGTTGAACCCGAGGGAGGCGCCAATGAGGAAGGAAGGCAGAACGGAGAAGCCACTGGTAATCTTGCATCTTGTTCCTTAAATTCATCTTGCATGCTGTACTCACACGTTGCTTAAATTCATCTTGCATCCTGGGTTGATTTGCACTACATTTTTTAAACTAGCTTGATCTCCTCCTTCAGCATGGGAAGCGAGGTCGCCGTCTTTGTGTCCTTGTCCATTGGAAGCGAGATCGCTTGCTTTGTCTTCTCCTTGGGCATGGAAGATGAGTTGCAGTACGTTGTCCATGGAGTCTGGCGTGAAAGAGGGAGAGAAAAAAAAAGCTACGGAGATACGCGTGCCAGACTCGATGTACAGAGAAAAAACGATAGGTATCGATCGTTCTGTTAAGAAAAAAAAAAGATTCCTAAATCTAAGGGATTGGTTGGGACATGTACTATGTATGGTGGGAATGTTTCCAAACTAATCGACGTGGGAGCTGATACGTACCTATATTTTGGAAATTTTTTTAGAAATCTATATAGCTTATATTAAGGAACGGAGGTTGAAGGATCCAACAATCAATCGCCTTTTTCTACATCTATTACCCAAGTTTTGCCCTTTTCCCAACCTCCTGCTATTCGTTGCATCTCTCCACGAGATTCATCGGTGTTTTAGGTGGCCTTGCCGACCTAAGAACAACCTCAGGCGTGCATCTCCTCAACGACCTTAGAGTATATGATTATACTTATTTTATATATTACTATAATGGTATTATAATAATATATTAAAAATATGGGTTCTTTTGAAAAAAATCACATAGTAATATTTGGAGTATATTAAAATGAGTACATAAGCATACTCAAACTGATAAATAAGTATGCACACATATGCAATGTGGTTATCGGAGAGTAGGAAAAATGCCTAGTCTTTTATTTTGTAAAATATGATAAATAAGGAAAGTTTTAGGTATAAATTTTTTTTTCCTACTAGATCTAATTGATGCATCTGTGATCTATTGGATGTCATAGATCTTTTTATGTACAACTTTAGACATGGCATGATTTGATTAGCAAAAATTAAACAGTTGATTTTTTATGCATGAGAAAGGCTATGATTTGATTAGCACATTTTAGATCGTCAGAGTTTACAGCTCAATTGGTGTGTTAGCTATTGTCAGCTGTTGATCTTTTTCATGGATATAACATGTTTTTTTTTAATTAACAGAGTATGGAGCGTGATCGATGCACAACTTTGACGTGACTGGATATCATAAAAACTTTTTGACAACTTTCAAGATAAAAATATGTACATTAGCGTCACACTTTATACATGATGATCTCGCTAAAAAGTTTTTATGGTACCCTATATCATGACTGGTATACTTGTAACAGGTTCATCGTAACATCGGAGTGATAGTAGTTGTATTATATATGTAACATATCGTTCATAGAGTTGGGAGAAGAATAAAACTAGCTTTGAATTGACACCAAGGCATAAAAGTTAGATACAACATAAATGTTGTGTATTATATATAAAGTAATTATCTTGTGAATAGATAAAACTGTACATAAATATATGGTAAAATATAGCAAAAAGAAGGATGCGGCAGTGCGGCAGCAACAAACATGATGACTGGATTTGAGAATGTTTTTATTTTCTTTTCCTAGGCTAATTAATTAATTAATTTACAATTTTAAAAATTAATGATCCAGATTTGTTTGAAGTATTATCTCCTACGGAGTAGTAGATAAAGTAAGTATCATAGCGCTATCCTTGTGTGTACATAGGACCCTAAACTGCAGCTGGACCGAAGACGAGAACAAAGTGGTGAGCAAGTGGTATATCTGTGCTAATCACCTTTTTTTTGTTTTTTTGAACGGTCTGTGCTCATCACTTGGCCACGTGGCCTATGCGTATCGGTCGCTGTAGCCTCCTTGTAGATGAAGGCTGAAGCTGTGGTATAGGATTGGATGGATTGGGCCCGTGCCACGTCGCCTGCCCCAACGGCTCCAATCCATCCACCTGCACGAGCGGGCCGGGGACTCGCCGGCCCAGGTCAGCAACGTGCGCATCTTGGGTCCACAATGGGTTGTACCGGGGGAGACCGGTCGGTGGATTCCCCGATCCCGGGCTCCTGGCCCAGTCGGTGACGAACAAACACGCACCACCACCGCCCGCCCGATCGACGAGCCCCGGGTCTCCCGGCCCGGCTCTCTTCCGAGTGCGAGCCGACACGCGGTCCGCAACGACCAGCGATTTCCCGTTCCCCGGGATGGACAGGGGCGACATTCTAATTTTTTTAAGAGAAATATAAAAATTTATGGTATCAAATAGATATATTATAAAGATAATAATTAATGAAGAATCTAATGATATTTATTTAATACCATAAATGCTATTTTTTATCATATAAATTTGGTCAAACTACCTGAGATGCTTGGACTCTCTAAAAAAGTTTGATTGATTTATAATTTGAGATGGTAGGAGTACGTATTGGATGCGAACTTTCTTGGAGGTTGGTTGGAGAGGGAACATGGCAGCATGGGCTCAAGAACAACAATAATAATGCAAACAAAGGCAGCACACACAGCCGCCCTTGTTGTGCTGGTCTTGACGAGTGCCATTATATTCTATTAGGAGAAGAACAACACTAACGGAACAATATCGTCCGTTGTTCTTCCTTTCTCTTCTATGCTTATATAGAGAGAAAGACATGTAGTATAAGCGTAAATTCTCCTGTTCGTGCTTAGATCTTTGATTGAGTGTATCTATCCTAAATGTTTTGATAATTAAGAATGATATATCTTCTATCGCTAATACTATACAATAGATATCTGAATATTATATAACGACAAGCTCAACCAATCAATAAATTATGGTATTTCAATTCGATGAGGGTTTTTGTTCTAAATTTATTATCGACAAGTTCAGGGGGACAAATCTGATTTAGTTTTACCCATAATAATATTATACATCATATCAAATCAGATGAATATGATATTTATCACTAAAATTTCTTTTAGATGTGATATTTATTACTATATATTGGTTTTACATCAACCTCAACAAACCATAATAATTGACATTTTATTAGAGAATCTCATGTTTATACTTCTGTTTTCCACTCAAACGTTTTAACTAACAACTCAACGAAAAACTTGGGGTTCCTTTTTTAGCATAGAGTATGTATGGCGTTGGTGGTTTAGAGCATCTCCAAGAGCCTTTCTAAAATTTA